CACTGGGAAGAGGTAACTATGGGGAGGAAGTGGGAGGGGAGCTGTTGCATTGTGGTAAACTGTGGTCAATGTCATGAGACAAAGTATATGTAAACTGCTGTATGGAAAGTGAATTTGCTCTATAAATCTCCACCCAAATCACAATAAAAAAATAATAATAATAAAAAAATAACTCACTGCCGTCACCTCCGACTCATAGAGACACTTCCTTGGGTTTCCGAGGCAGTATCTCTGTGGAAGTAGATTGGCCAATTTTCCTTCCAAGCAGTGGCTTGTGGGTTTGAACTGCCAGCCTTCTGGCAGTCAAGTGCCTTAGCACTACGCCACCAGAGCTCTTTCTTCTTCAATAGTGCTTTGCTTATCTGAGGTCTCTTTTCTTTCCACATAAAATTAGTGATTGGTTTTTCATATCCTTAAAGAATGCTGATGGGATCTAGATTGGGATTGCATTGAGTGTATAGATTGCTTTGGGTAGTACTGACATTTTCACCACGTTCAATCCTCCTATCCATGAGCATGGTATGTTCTTCCATTTATGTAAATCTCTTATGGTTTCCTGAAGTAGTGTTTTGTAGTTTTCTTTGTACAGGTCTTTTATGTCTCTCAAACTCAAACCAAACTCACTGCCATTGAGTTGATTCCAAGACCTAATGATCCCTTTGGGTTACCAAGGTAGTAAATCTTTACAGAAGTAGATTGCCCAGTCTTCTTTCCGCTAAGTGGCTGGTGGGTTTGAACCATCAACTTTCTCTATAGCAGTCAAATGCCTTAGGCACTACGCCAACAGAGCTCCTTTTTTGGGTCTTTAGTGAGATTTATTCTCAAGTATTTTATTTTTTTGGTAGCTATTGTAAATGGTATTGATTTCCTTATTTTCTTTTCAGCAATCTCTTTGCTGGTATAGAGAAATCCAACTGATTTTTGTATGTTGATCTTGTATCCAGTCCCTATGCTAAATCTCTCAATTAGTTCCAGTGTATTTCCGTGTTTTATACATAAGGAGTAAGGTTTCTTTTGCCCCCCGCCCCCCAGGAATCATTATTTCTCACCATGGAGGTAATATCAAGTCCACTGAGAATGCATGGCCTAGACTGAGGTTTCAGACTCCACCATCTTTTAGTTCGAACAGTGTTCTATTGGTAAAGCTGGCCTCCTGGGAGGGAGAAATCTTCTAGCAGTCTCCAGCACTTCAGTATAAATGTAGGGAGAGGGCCAGAGTCACCAAGAATAAGCCTAGTTGACTTTGATAAAAATAAAATGAATAGTGACAAGCTCCCCAAAGAGAAATTAGAGAGGTCTAGATATCAAGGCTGACTTGTTACTCTGGGGCATGAGTCTTTCATTTCTCCCACTCACTGGGTATAAGCCTCAACAGTGCCATCTGGGATTCCCCCAGAATAACTCTCCCCTTTGCTCCCAGGTCAGTGTTTCTATGGGCTCTACAGGTGAGACAGGGAGAATAGTTTGGGGGCTTGGGGATGGAGGCACCAAGTCAGTTATAGATGCAAATGTTGACAGGATAGGGATGTCCAGATGAGTGAGATGGATGCAGTGTAAGGCATAAGGGACTGGTGAGGATTGTGGCAAATTAAGCCCTTAGCACTCATATTCAGTTGATCACTGCCAGAAAGGAATGCAGGCCAGTGTGGCCAGCTTACTTGATTTTTCAAAGAAGCAGGAAATCTCGATGTACATGTAAAAAAAATATCACCAACTAAATAAAGATGTTTTAAAAATATAGTTCAGGCCACAGAAAACCCATCTGTAGACTGGCCTCTATGGACAGGTAATAATGCTAAGTCCTGAGACAAGGAGGGTGAGGATGCCTATGAGACTCAAGGGCTTTTCAATGCCTGAGTGTGATCCTTTCCCAGTTTCAGGGCCTTCCATCGGGGTAGTAGGCCCCTCCACTAAGTTGTGTTTGGATGTGGCTCTCTCTGACTGTTGCCCTCCTCCCCCGCCAATGCCCATACCTCTCTGGAGCTACTGGAGAGTTTCATTGTACGGTTGAGGTACTCCTTGGCTTTCTCATGGCGGCCCATGAGCCAGAGGAAGAGGCTAGCATAGTACAGGGCAGTCCCATCAGCTGCCTTGCGGACTTCCTTCAGGCTGCTCTCAAGCTCCTGGATAGCTTCTCTGTCTGTAAATCCGAGAGAGAGGAGGGAGACGAGTTAGGTGAGGAACTTCTCCTGGCACTGAGGCCCCAGAGAGCTACCTTTGGACACTGGGCTTCCCTCATTCCATGCAGCTAATTACATTACCAGCACAGGGTGTGTGTGTTACCAGCACAGGGTCTAGTAACAAGCAACACTGCCTCAGCAATGCCCCAGGCCTCCCTTTGGGTTTACTGTCTGAGCTTTGTCTTCTCTTTTCTGTGCCCAATAGTATACTTAGCACTTGAACTCCCAGCCATAAGCCCACAACTCATTCTGGGTGGGGAGGTAGTTATTTATAATCTCTTTTGGAATTTCTCCCTGGCTTCAAAGAGGTGGAGATTAAGAATGAAGTTATTTACAGTGGCTTGATTTTCTTGATAAGGTCATGGAAGCAAGGGAGAAGGGTGTCTCCTCAAATCTTGGCTCTGAAGGGAGGACCCCTCTCACTGTCATGCTTTCTGCCTGTGGCTTCTACTCAATGTGCGGGCCCGTGGGGGTCTTCTTTGAGGCCTCCAGAGGGAGGGGAACAGCGGCAGTTCCTCACTGGCCAACAGCCTCTCCACAGAGGCCAGTGCAGACACATCCTTTGGAAGCTTTTGAGGGGGATATGTCACTGGAGGGGGGTCTCTTTCCCCTGCTGGGCCAGGACAAGCTGAGCATGGCTGCACTCACCAATGATTTCACAGCACTTGTGAGCGTAAATGAGGGCCATGGTGGAGCACAGGGCTACGTCTGGGTGGTTCCGGATGCTCTCCAGGTCACTGATGGAATCCTGGATGCGCTCTGCAAAGAGAGCCACATGTAGTTATGCTCTTGGGCTGCAGTCCCAAAAGATAGGAGGCTCTGTGGCAGTCATAAGGCAGACCTTGTCGGGGTTGGCCCAGGGCCTGATACCACCTGTCTCCCCCCAGACACAGAGGACTGAGATTCTGAAAGATGCTCTTGGAGATGTGGGATGAACATATATGCCCAGTAACCTGAGTTCCCTCAGGAATGAAGCTCCCTGAAAGGGATGCTGGCACTGTGGTCCAGGCTTCCCGAACCTGGGAGGCTTGGAGCTGAGAGATCTGAGGTACATCTGCCAGGCTGGGATTATTGGCTAGGGGTCAGTTCTGAAGAGGGCACTCTCAGCTGCTCAAGAGCCACTGATTACATTTATCCCTCCATGTCTACTGACATTGGCTGTGGGCAGTTCAACTGGTCCCAGCCCAGACCACCTTCTGAATGTTAGTGAGTCAGCATCTGCATGGCCCACTCTTTCCTCTCCTTGCACCTGTACCATCTCTGGCTGGCACCTATATTTACCACTTTCTTCTTTTTTTCTTGCGCTACCAGCTCCCAGTTTCCAAGCCTGGGATTAGTTTAATAGTCACACAGTCATCTCTCCACCCACTCATTTTACAGATGGAAAAGTTCAGCACAGAGCAGGAGCAGTGACCTCTGTAAGGTCTCAAAAGTAAACTAGGTATGTATTACATAGGCTTCTGGGGGAATCTAGCCACTAAGTGTAAGGCTGCTTCCCTGGGAGCATAAATAAGGTATAAGTAGGTGTCCAAGGACTGTTTGTTAGGGATGGGCTAGGGCCTGGGGTCAGGAGCTAACACTGCCAAGCTCTTACCTTCTCTGAGGACTCCATAAGCTTTAAAGAACTGAAGCACAGGGTCATTGCTGAACTTTTCCAGGCCTATGGCTGCAGCATGCTGCACATGGCGGAAGTACTTTTCTTGGCTGTAGTAAATGATTCCAGCCTGTGTGGAGGAAGACATAATGGCCCCAGTCCCTCCCTGTCTCTGTTTTGGCCTGGACAGGGTCACACTTGTTCCCTCCCCTCTCTCCATTCCTTCTCAGTCCTGCAAAAGGAAGAAAAAGAGACTATGCAGCCTCATCCTGTCTTGCAGCAGCTCCATGCTGTTTCCCTGAGAAGCAGTGATTGCTGATTTTTGTCATATTTTCTGTTGTTTCAGTTATATTGTGGTAAGTAGTATTTGTGAAGCTAAGGAGCTCTGGTGGCATAGTGCCTAAGGTATTTGACTACTAACCAGAAGGTTGGC